GCATCCCCAAGGAATCCCGCATGTACCCCAAGCTCTCAGGGTTGCACAGGAGCATGGAGTCCTTGCAGATGCCTATGAGCCTGCACAGCCCCTTCTCTGCAGGCAATACAACTGCCCCCACCACTGCTCCCACCCCTCCCGTTGTGGCTGCTGAGGAGGAACCCAGTGAGATGTCCTGGACGGGGAGCCCCAGGATCACACACCTGGACAGGTAGAAGAAAGTGGGGGAACTTTTGTTTGATGGCATGATCCCCAGGCAAAAGGGGATGGGGCTTTTTTGGAAACTTGGTTCTCTGTGAAGCAATTCCTATTCCCTGCAGTTAAAGTATTGCAGAGCAACAAGGAAGGCAGTTGGGGAAGTGGAAGTAGAGCAGTGGAATTGCAGTGCAGTTGAAAAGCTTTATTCAAACTCCAGCATAATGTTGCAGTTTGCTGTTCTTGCCCATGGTGGAGTTCTAGCTTCATGTTCATGGAGTTCTAACTCCATGCTTCTAAACTAAGCCAGATAATGCTCTGCATTCCCAAAACTTCATAAACCAGTTTATTGCCCATCAGATGCTACAGCTGGACTCCAGCAAATGATTAACAAATACTGTTGTGCTTGCTTCCCTTCCTGCAGCTCTAACCGTGATCGGAATACATTGCCCAAGAAGGGACTAAGGTAATCTCCTTCTACCCCACCCCTCACTTTCCTGTTGCTATCAACTGATGGTCAAATAAATTAGTGGGCATGGCATACAGTATGATGTTGCAGTAGGCGAAACCTGCTTTTCACTGTGGTCATGCTAACACAAGATGACCAGTTGAAGAAATCTCGGTGTTCCTCGCAAACCAACACTATATGTTATTTTGAGCATGCTGTTTATCATCCTCTTAAACAGGGTACTTAATATTCTACATGCTGCAGAGTAAGATCCCAAAGAAAATCAATTAACCATGGTGGTTCATAAAAGCAGCCCACCCTGTTTCTGTTCAAAGCAAACCAGTCTGGGGATCTGGTTACATCTCTCACTTCTTGGTCCTGTTGCAAGACTGTATATAGGAAGGCTAGGCACAGCTTTCCCAACTACTGTATGTGGAGAACAAACTATCCTGGGAGCCGTTTGCTGTGAACAATATTGAAGTTATTTATTTTTGTTTATAATGGCCATTGTGGTGTTCTTTTTTTTTTTAAGCACTTTGGTATTGCGGTATGATGAATGTTCTGTATGCGCAAGCATTTCAACTTGCCAGATGGAATGATCCCCTCTCTCCTCCCCCTGTGCACTTTTCTGCCCCCCCCCCGAAAATGAAACAATTTCAGAAGTGTAGAGGAAGCCTTGCTGAACAAGCAGAAGTCCTTGCACAGGGCTTCTTCTGGCAGGGCTCATTGGGTGAATCCTGTTTAAAGTCCTCAGTTAATAAATGATGTTCACCAGAATGAAATACTCTGCAGAACTCTATAGTATGGTAGCATTTGCTGTTAACTGGCCATGTTCTAGAGGGCATAATAAATTGGACAGTATATAAATGGCTTCCATTGACTTTTTGTAGCTGTGTTCAGATAGTTACGGGGTGAATGCATGCACTGAAGTCCAAGCCTGAACAGGTTTACTCTGAAGTAAGGCCCAAGGTTTAATGAGACTTAATCCTAAATTAAATGTTCAAAGAGCTGTGGCCTTGGTTTATCTATTTTCTCTCATGTCCTTTGAAAAGAGTACCTTGGATGGCAATCTGCTTTTGAAAGATCTGATTACCTTGTTAGCACTGAGTAATCCACACTTTCTTAGCATCACCATTGCTATACAATTAGGTGCTCCCAAGCGAAATTTAGAATTTCTCTTACTATGACTTCAGGAACTGGCTACGTGAGTGATGTTAAGCCTAAGCCACCATAGTTGTTTTATGGCTACAAAATTCCTCCAGTCTTCCTTGTTCTACTTCTCTCTCCCTTAATTTTGGCAGATATCAAATCCAGTCCCAGGAAGAGGCCAAGGAGAGGCGGCACTCCCACACGATTGGAGGATTGCAGGAATCAGATGATCAGTCTGAGCTGCCTTCCCCTCCTGCACTCTCCATGCCATTGGTTGGAAAGGCACCACTCACTAATATTGGTTAGTTTCTCTTGCCTTCTGTTTTCCTGCAGGGGGAACTTTTGGAGACAGGTGTTCTAAGCCAGTTGAAGCTGATGCTGATCTATACTTTCTGAGATCCTTTCCCTTAATTTTCTTTCTTCTGAGATTGCACTGCCAGCTCACCCAAAACCGACTCCAAGGTCAGGGGCATGAAATCAGAGATGTTAAGGGGTGGCCTGGTGCAAGTGTTTACATTTTACACAGGTGCAGATTGGTTTGTGCAAGGAATGGTGTACATTCAAAGATTCTACCCTTCTTTCTCTCTCTCTCTCTCTCTCTCTCTCTCTCTCTCTCTCTCTCTCTCCTGGCTGCCACCCCTGAGTCTAGTGAGCCCTCTGTTCCTACACCCCCATTCCTGCTTCAAGCAGCTCCATCTGACTAGCTTGTCCTCCCCTCCCTCCTTCTCCTGCAGTGACCCCCACGGCAGCCAACACCCCGAGGATCACCCGCTCCAACAGCATCCCCACCCACGACTCCACCTTCGAGCTGTACAATGCGTCCCCCATGGGCAGCACCCTCTCCCTGGCAGACCGGCCCAAGGGCATGATCCGTTCGGGCTCCTTTCGCGACCCTGTGGATGATGGTGAGAGTCCTGCACCCAGCCAGGAGGACAAGAGTCTCCTCCACAGTAATAATGGTGAGAGGGATACGGTCGCGACAAATTCTGTCTGTCAGGTCTTCTCAAGTGCGCACAGGTGTACCTGGCAGGTGGGCTGGTGCAGCTGTGGGAGCTGCTTCTTGCTTGCAGGGGAGCAAGATGACATGGCAGAGCTGGGGACGGGAGGTGTGAGTGGGTGAGATCGGTAACTTTCAAGCATTGCTTTCTCCCTCCTGCACTTCCAGCACCACGATAAACAGGATGTGGGAGGCAGGCACTCTGCCCATCGCCCAGTGCTAGCTTGCCATGGGGCACAGCCACACCTCTTTTTAGGATGTGTGTCCACACTGCATCTGTATAAGACTTTAAAATTACTCAAAGCTAATGAAGCACTATGCTTAATAATAATAATAATAGTAGTAGTAGTAGTAGTAATAATAATAATAATAATAATTTTTATTTATATCCCGCCCTCCCCAGCCGAAGCCGGGCTCAGAGCAGCTAACAACAATAAAAGTAACACAGTTTACATAAAATCACAATCAGTTAATTGAAATGCATTCTAAAATCAATTCATTCTAAAATCAATTTAAAATCAAATTAATGGCAACCATTGGGCTAGAGTTCTGTGAGGATTACCAAAGGAGGGGGTCAGACTGTGCCTTGGCCAAAGGCCTGGTGGAACAGCTCTGTCTTGCAGGCCCTGCGGAAAGATTGCAATATAGTTCAGGTAGTGATAGAACTGATTTCCGTTGGATTGTGGCAGGGAACTCCCTCAGCCAGGGTCTCCACCTGGGTCATTGCTGATTCCGTGCCTTGTATTACTTCAAGTTCAGGGTTTTTATTGTTCCTGATGTGCTGCGTTAAAACGTAGGTCTTTGTGCTGAAAACAAACATTGAACGCCTGTGCTAGCAAAATGTTTTCACATTTCTCTAGGAATGTTGAGCCTTGGCTGGGATGGATGATCCACCCATGCAGGCAGGGAATCTTGCCCGTTTCTTCCAGGACCGAACGCTCTCCCGATCCCTCAAATTTCCCGTGTTAACTGTTAAGAGAGCCTCACGTCGACTCTTGGTGTTGTGGCCCCACTTCTTTGTGCCTCTAGGTTCTCCCCCTGCCCCATGTACACTGATGCCCCACGGTGAGGAGATGACCCCATGACACGTGTCTTCTCTCTTGTCTATTGCAGTTCACGGATCTGTGCTGTCCCTGGCGTCAAGTGCTTCCTCCACTTACTCCTCAGTAAGCTGTGCTCCCTTCATCAGCGGGCCTGGCCTGCCCTTTGCTTTCTCAGTGCTGCAATTCTGGCAGGCCATCCTTCCCTCTCTTCCCCAAACCCTGGATGTTCCCCTGCTGCAGTCTTTTCGAGTGATGGGGTGCTGTGCCGCTCTTTCAGGGCTTTGCGTGTAACCATGTGGGGAGGGGGGAAGGTGTGGCAGAAATAAGCTGTTGTCGTGTTGCCACAAGAAGCGTGGTGCATGTGGAAAGATTGCAGCGGAGGTGCTGGCTTCTCTGCATGGCTCCTCGCCTTTGCCTGTGAGTGCGCCTCTGCTACTTATGCCCTAACCGCCTGCCTCTCTCTGTCTCTCCTCTGCCCCACCATGTGCTGCCAGGCTGAGGAGAGGATGCAGTCTGAGGTACAGTAAGATTCTCTCTCTCTCTGTCCTCCCTACGGCTCCTTTGCTCTTGACCCATTGGTGGAGAGCAAAAGGGTATATCTTGCTCCCTGACTCCTCCCTATCTTTCTCCCTGATTGTAGCAAATCCGCAAACTGCGCCGTGAGTTGGAGTCATCCCAGGAGAAAGTGGCCACGTTGACATCCCAGCTTTCGGCCAACGTGAGTTGCCCTGTGTTGTTAATCTGCCGCAAATGCTCCTGTCTCATAAACAAAATTTTGAATGATGTAAATTAAAGTAGCATTCAAAAATACCAAAGGAAAATGGAAGGATAAAATAGGGAAGGGAGATGTGGGTCAAGATGTTTCGACCAAATAAATAGTGAATACAAATATATGGTGTGATCACATTTTACACAGGGGTTCTGCATATAGGGTGTTTTGTTTGGGGTTTTTTGTTTGTTAATTATATTATTTTTTGTATATTTATTTTTAGGTCTTATTATGATTTATGTGGAAATGGTTTCAGTTTGGTTGTGTGCTTTCTGATGTGTTTTATTTATTGTTTGTGGCTTTTGTTACATTTGTAATTATGTAAACCTTGTCAAGTTGTGAGCCACCTCGAGCATGTTTTTTTTTAAGTACGGAAAAGTGGCATACAGATAAGATGATGATCTAGCTCAGTGGGTTGGAGCATGGCGCTGATAATGCCAAGGTTCCAAGTTCGAGCCCCGCTGCGTATTCTTGCATTGCAGGGGTTGGACTAGATGATCCTCAGGGTCCCTTCCAACTATGCAATTCTAGGATTCTATATACACGGAAACAAGTATACTCAAACCCTTGGAACTAGCCCTGCATGAGAATTCCCAGCCTTCCAGAGACAAAGTGCTGAACCCCTCTACCCAAGCAAGGCAGGGAACTTAAACCCAGCTTTCTGTATTCAACATGGAATAGGAGCACCCTCTAGTGGATATTCAGTGTTTTGCTAGCTCAGTGTCTCTAAAACGTCTTGAGCTTGGGTCTTAGAATAAAGGAGAACGATAGATTGTATCTTTAATCTATCACAGCGGCAACTGCCTATTCCACTGCATAATGAGTAAATATTATTTCATGCAGTCGTGTGAGTGCAGCCCCTTCCTGTGTACCAGAAGTCACAGGATCAGAGCCCAGGGGACTAATTAAAAAGCTGCCATTAGAAAGGGAAAGAGAATTAGAAACACCATTAGAAAACACCATTAGAACAAAGTTACAGCTTTCCCCAGATCAGAATGGGGCAGCCCAGTATGACTTAACAAACCCAACCTGAATCATTGAGGATCCTCTTGCTAAGGAACATCCAACTACTCACGTGTTTTGGTTGGTGTGTGGCTATAGGATCCACCAGCCTCAAGACACTGTCCTCACCTGAAACTTTGCCCCCTTCACTTCAAGTTTTACACACCTCCCTGACGGGGACCCACTCAACCTTGTTGAGAACTACTGTGTACAGAGTTGTAGTTTTCGAGACATCAGCCTTCTGCCATATACTTCTGCTGTAGAACCGCAATCCCTGATGGGAATAATGGGTTTAACTAGGAGCTCCCAGTATCTTGTGCTGCCTGATAAGCAATTAAGAATCTACAGAGCTGCATTAATACGAGGCCAGATTATGTGTCTGTTCTGACGGGCAGTTGCTCTCCAAGTAGTGAAATATCATTCCCGTCATGCGCTGTGTGGTCTTTTTGTAAGTGCAACTGAATCCGTGCAAATGACCTGCTTCATGCAGATCATGTGCTCTGCCACTGACCTGTGGGTCCCTCTGATTCCTGTTTTCTTCATATGACTCTGTTCCTTGTACTGGCATGTGGGCATATCACCCCTTTTCATTTTCCTTTCCAGGCGAACTTAGTAGCAGCCTTTGAGCAGAGCCTCGTGAACATGACTTCCCGTCTCCGACATCTTGCAGAGACTGCGGAAGAGAAGGTGAGTTTGAGGCAGTTGGCAGGGTCCATGGCTGACCAAGGTGCTGAGGCCTGCCCTACAAAATGGCTTGCTGTTGTTTCCTTTCTCCCACCTCCCCCTAGCATAGGTTTGCAGCAGAGCAATTAGTAAAATAATAAAACGCAAGGCATTCATCAGTTATGCATCACCTTCTAGGACACTGAGCTGGTGGACTTGAGGGAGACAATTGATTTCTTGAAGAAAAAGAACTCGGAAGCCCAAGCTGTTATCCAAGGGGCCCTGAATGGAACAGACATTACACCCAAAGGTGAGCGCAGCCTTCAACACACACTCTCCTGGTGGATCTTTGGCTATGCAGCTGCCGAATGGTGGATTAGAGACATGGTGGACAGGATTGATTCCTTTTCCTGCTAGGAGCAAGGGAGGGAGCAGTTAGACATTGTGGTGTGGTGTTTGGATAAAATGCACTTTCACTGGAGCCAGTTGGAACACACACACTTTTACTGGTCTTTTAATATTTGAAGGGAGGTAAAGCAAGCAGCAGCCAGACGTAGGGCTGTACTGTGTAGGTTCTATGCCCAACCTCCTCTTTCTCCTTCCCAGACATGGAGCCCTTGGTAATGAGAGTGGGAGAGAGATGGGGACGCCTCATGCTTTCAGTCTCCATAATGTCACAATGACTGTACTTGTGTGTGGCTTCCTCCTCCTTTGTTCTGAAATTGGAGCTCCTGGTTCTATAGATGGGAGCAGCCATCGTTACCATTGTGCTAATGGGAAAAACGGTACAGTGGTAAAGGCAACTAAGAGTTACACTTCTCTTGCTGCCTTCTGGCATTGCACTGATGGGATGAAATTCCAGAGGAGTGGAAGGATGGGGGAATGGAGTCATGGTGGTCCTGAACACTAGAAACTCCTGGGTATTTATTGACAAGACTGGATGAGCATGCCCAAGACAAGAGACCAAGCCATCATCGAATCTGAATACATGCAGCTCCTCATCTTTTCTTATGGTCCCCAGATCTTGCCTGTCCCCAGATGCTGCCCCTATGTGCTCCTTTCCCTACTATTCCCACTTCCTTGGGCCCTGCCTGACCTTAGATAAAAATGTTAGATTTGATTTGAGGTCTAGCCTGGGAACAAAGTACAGAGAAGACTCTTTTTTTGCTAGCTGTGTTTGGAACTGATGCTAAAAACAGAGAGGTGGTAGCTGATTACCTGGGTGCCTGCAAGAGCTTCCAGTCTGTCCACAGGTTTTGAATGCATCTCTCCCTCCTTCCCTTCCCTGTGACTCTCCAGAGCTGCGTATCAAGAGGCAGAACTCGTCGGACAGTATATCCAGCCTGAACAGCATCACCAGTCATTCTAGCATTGGCAGTGGCAAGGATGCAGATGCCAAGAAGAAGAAAAAGAAGAGCTGGGTAGGTCAAGGAGGAGGGGAAGTAATTTTGGGATCTACGTGGGGGTGAAACCCTGTTGTGTGTCTTGTCACAGTAGCTAGTATAATGGCAACTGGGGTTTCAGAGCTACTTGGCTCATGGAAGTACTATTGACTACTTACAGCAGATTTCTCTGCGAAAGAAACTAGTTTGCATCTTTATTGCTCTTGAGGCCCAGTGGGAATATGCTTTAGCTCCCAAGCTAGATCCACTGGTAAGTGATAGGCGTCACTCATGAGGCCCATTAGACTTAATCATGGTATGGATGTGGTAGCCTAAAAGGGAGGCAGGGATGCTAACCTAGCAGTGATGGGATCACTAAAAAGAAAGAAAGCTGAGATGATGATGATGATGATTACAACAATACCACATGGAATTAAAATGTTTCTAGCATGCTTTAAGTTAAATGTCCTCTTTCCCAGACATTCAAACACCCCTCCAGTCTGAATAGCCTTAAAGCATTGGGTGTTTTTGTGCTCTCCTTCCAGCTGCCTATTTTGACTCAGAAATGAGACCAAAGGAAGCTTCCAAATTTTTAAGCTTAAAAATATTGGGCAGTGGGATGGGGAGTAATTTGACCTGAACCTTTTTAGGAACATTTTAAGGTGCATATTAAATAAGGGTTTCGACTTTTTAAAATTAATATTGCCTCACAGCTGGTTTTGCATGGCAAGTTTATGACTTGTGCAGCTGATGTTACTCTTCCTTTCCATTTACGCTAACCTTGCTGCCCTGCCTTTCCCCACTGCTCCCTAAAGCGGAGAGAGGCCACTCGCGCCCAACTCTCAGCTCAGTAGGTGTGCCGTCCTCTTAGGAAGGCTGGTGTAGAAGATTGTCCCAGTTTCTCTGTACTGCCTTGAGCCCCCACCCCATCCCCGCAGCTTGTTACAGGCAGGGAACCTGAGCTGAACGCATGATTAAGTCTTGCTGTGTTCTTTTTTCCCCCTTTCTTCCTTCAATGCTGACCCCCCAACCCCTTTTTTTCCAGGTGTATGAGGTAAGCTTGGAACTCCCTTCCCCACCCCACCCCTCCCTTTCACCAGTCCTTTCCCTGTGTCTTACTCCTGACTGGTCACTCCATTGTGTTGGGGACAGCACAGCACTCGTGGAACTAACCATCCCATTTGCTCTCGCACTTGCGCTGCCAAGCCACACAGGAGGGGCCACTGCACTGGTGCTGCGGCAGGGGTGGGGTGGGGAGTTTCACGCCCCTTTTTGACATGGCTCTGAATCTATACCTAATGCTGCTCAGTCTTAACAGCTCTCCTAAAGGTCTAGAAAGTCACTGGGAAAAGGGGTTCCAAGAGTGGATTTTTGAGGTACTCAAGTGGAGCAGTTTAATAATAATTCATAGTTAGTATCCTACCACTGCAGCAGTTTGGCTCTGTCCTGTACCTCAACACTTAAGGGAGAGGTGTGGGTTTTTTAAAAATTCCTGTCCCTCAAATATTTATTTGGTAACTGCAGGCTGTACGTACCATCATCCTCCACACTCAATTGTTGCAAGAGGAGGACACATATCATAAGAATATTGATGAATGTGTTTTAGTATCATCATTTCCCATGCTGGGGAATTGTCTATTTTTTTTCCTTTGCAAATCGAGCAGTTTCTCTTTTTGCTTCTGTCAAGAGAACCTTCCAAATTCAGGAACTGTTGTTTGCAGACATTGTTTGTGCCATAATGTAATCTGTTCCACCCTGAGAACTTGTTGAAGAGTGGGGTATAAATCCCTTACAATTAAATGAATTAATGAATTAATGAATCCACACTCAGCAGTTTGGCTGTGGCTTCCAAATCCAGTATAAACTTTGTTTGCATTTCTTTGTCTGTCTAGAGCAGACAAGGTTTCATTGGGCCATAAATCCCCAGCATCCCTGATCACTGGCCCTGCATGCTGAGAGTTCCAACTTCTGGGGTCAGGGATACAGGTTCCCCATCCGTGTTCTAGAATTGCACTCCTTAACAGCACACTCCTTTGCATGCACATCTGTTCAAAAGTAAGCCTCACTGAACTCAGTGGGTCCAACTCCCAGGTAAGTGTGTACAGGACTGCAGCCTAAGTGGCCCAGATGATGAGATTCAATGGAGCATGACACCCACCCACACACCAATTTCTGCCACACCATCTCATAGTTGCCACAGGTCAGAGCAAATCAGAGAGCTGGAAGATAGAAAGTGATTTCTCACATGTACAACATGACAAGTGTTCTTTGAAGCCACCTGTAAGGGTAGCAGAGGTTCAAGCTCTGAGACAGCTCCAGTCCCCTGGCCTCTTGTGTGCCCTCAGACTGGCTTGTGAGGTGGGTGGTTGGGAGGGAGATAGAAAAACCCAGTTCCAATAGTGCCTCCACCCATTACAGTGGCTAT